GTGTGTTTACAAGCTTAGAAAACATACAGATTTCCTGTATTCTAAATTAAGGGGGGGTAGTTCATTAATCAGAAATGAAGTATAGAGCTTCACTTAGAGTGAGCTTATGTAGAAATGTTCAAATTGATTTACCGCTGACGGTCTGCCCAACTCTTTCAGCTTCTGGATCATGTTCTTCTGAGCTAGAGACCTCCTTGTCTCCGGAGCTTTCGTCTGAAAGACATGTTGTTACTGCTGAATACAGTCTGGAGTCATGCTTTGATCTTTTAATGTTACGGGCTGTTTTTTTTTTTAAGTTACTTAATCAAATGTATTCAGTTGTTTACCACAACTCATAAACGAGATTAAAAAGAATGTTGTCCCATAGTTTCATGTTTACGTAACACCTCTGAAGTCTGTAGTATTGCACAGGAGAACAACTGATCAGGAAATTAATCAAAATCCTGGCAGGTGAACAGGAATGGCGCAAACGTGCAGGAACTAAAGTCATCTGTCGCGACTTTTAACTGAGATCCTCCATACTAAGACCCACCTTGCGACCATAATACGAATACATCGAAATCTCTCTATTCGATATAGAAAGAATTGCTGGATCGAAACTAAACTCAATGGAATTCGTCCAGATCGAAACTATTCGGATTTCTTAGAAGAGTTGGGAAGCTGGACTTTTGTTGAGCTATCATTTCGGCGCCTCTAGAGCGGTAATAGGAAAAAAAAAACCGCAAGTCGCTCACCTTGACTCCGAGATACACCTGTTCGATCCATTTCTAGGCTTCTGAAGCAGGTGTGGGGATCTTGCGATGGTGCAGAACGGCGCTGCGCGCTGCCCTCGGTTTTGCTTACAGCCTGCTGATCCAGGTGCCTGTCGATACAGGTAGGCGCTCCTGTGAAACACGAAGCGCTGTTTTAATTGACACCAAGGGTGTGGCGCTATCTTAGCATAGCTCAAATACCTGGGACCATTGCTTCAGCTGAGCACACCTTCCGCCTTCTCTTGAATATATCGAATTGTAATTGAATATACCAATACGAGTGAAACCGTGTAGTTCAACCACTATTTAGTAACAGCTCAACACCCCAGGCAACGCCACAGCCTCCGCTTCATGAGTTATTTCTGGAGCTTGAGACTGGATTGCTACTCATTGTTATTAAAAAAAAAACACGCAGGTTCTGAGAGACGATCAAGCAAACGTCAACGGATTGCCGTCTCGAGAGCCTCTTTGAACAATCTCGTTAAGATATGAACCGTAGGAGGTAAAACTGCCGAAGACAATGCGGTTTAGTCAACGTTTTCATCACAAGCATCACTCCTCGTACAACAGGTTTAGGGTTGTAACGTTTAAAAGCCTAGGGACTGTTTTCGAATGGCATGACGACCTACAAAGGACTAACAATTAACAGTATGTCAATTGCCCAGTGTTGTGGCAGGTGGCTGCCTTTTCTTTTTTTCTTTCTGTGTTTCTGTTCCAGGACTAGTCCACACTGTACGCGTCGTCCTTGACTGCAAGGTCATTAGTGGGTGTCTAGACAAACAGCGTGGATGCTATCTGCTGTAGATTGCTAGCACTGTGCCAATGACTTTAAGAGGACGAGATAGCAGTAAAAAGGCGGATCCGTACGGACGGAC